CTATCTATCTATCTATCTATCTATCTATCTATCTATCTATCTATCTATCTATCTATCTATCTTCCATCCATCCATCCATTCATCATCTATCTACACTATCCATCCATCATTGTCTCTGTCTGTCTGTCTATCATCCATCCATCCATCTATCCTCTATCCATCCATCATTGTCTGTCTGTCTGTTGTCTGTCTGTCTATCTATCTTTTGTAACATTTGATTTTTCCCAGTAAGCAGTCAGCATTGTGACCCCTGAAGATTTTACATATATTGTAACATACAGGAATCCTCTAGACTTAACCCATTAAAACTTGCCCAATTGCCAGCCCTTAAATGGACGTGAGCCTTCCAAAATATTTCAATTGGCCACGTACATCTTCTTTATACCCAACAAGGTTTTGAAAGGATTGCATTCTGACCAGGGACTGACCAGCTGCATTGCCAACTGTAACCCAACAGCTGTTGGCCTTGGATCAGATTTCTGGCTGCTTCCTGCCCTGTTGCCAACTGGCCAAGCTGCAGATAGTTACAGGTATTTAACTTCAGCGTTACCTGTTGGCAAACTAAGCGTAGGCGCCTCCTTCTATGGCATCTATCTACTGTACCTGAGGGACCGACGCGTTCCTTCGCCTTCTCAGTTTCGCTGTTTTCCTTCAACGACCGTCGGAAAAGGGTTTTCTAACCTTAAACCAAGTTCAATTTAACCGTGGTCTGCCTGCCAAGTAAGCCCCTGGCCGCGTTCTCCCAGCAAGCCGAGGCCTCAAGCGATCCAGCGAGGCGCCTCCTTCCCCTCGTTGCGCGTTGGGACTCCTGCGCGCAATCGGCGGGCGGCGCGGTGCCCGCGGGCGCTGCCATCCGTCCTCCCCACCAGCAGGTGACCCTAAGCTGGCTTCCGTTCTCCGCCTGCCCGGACGAAGCTCGGTGATCTCGGTCACCGGGAGACGCCTCGCCGCCGGGGGCGACCAGGAGAAGAAAGCCCGGGGCCTGGCTTGGCCAGGTGAGCTCCGACAGGTGCGCCCGCTCGCGCGCTCTCCTCGGCCGGAGGGGCTGGCTGGCTGGCTGGCCTTGGCTTGGCTTGGGTGGGGCGGTGGGCGAAGGGTCCGGGCGATTGAAGTGGGGAGCGCTCCAGCTCACCGGGAACGCGCTTCGGCCGGTGCGTGATGCTGCGGGGAAAAAATGCTGGAGGAAGCGGCGGGGGCGAGCAAGGAACGCGCCACAGGTTGCGCTTGGGCACAAAAGTGAGGCTGGGGCTCCGTTCCGCCCATGTGCGGCATTGCAACTCCCATGCGCCACGGCCGGGGGCGTGGAGGAGGAGGAGGAGGAGGAGGAGGAGGAGGAGGAGGAGAGGGTCTCCGCAGAGTTAGTTCCCGCGGTGCGCTTGCTCTAAGTCTAAGGAATATATGTTTGATGGCTTGTAGATTTGCACAGCTTGGGATGTATGGGGTGAGCTCTGGTTAAGGGAGGGGGGAGGGCTTGTCCTGTGTGGGAGGAACCCAACCATAGATCCCATGTGGCTTGGTCGGGGAAGGACCAGAAGGACCCTCTAGTGTTGTGTTTTTAACCTTTGGCAGCTTTGAGATGGGTGGGCTTCAAATCCAGTTTTGAGTGTTGAAGTAGGGCCATGTGGGGCTGAGAAAATCTAGGTGGTTGCTAAGATTGGACAACAACTTGATGCACATCATCCATCTATCCACGCATCCATCCAATCAATCATCCATCCGTCCATCCATCCATCTATCCATGCATCCATCCAATCAATCATCCATCCATCCATCCATCCATCCATCTATCCATGCATTCATCCAATCAACCATCC